CTCTCTCACACACTCACACACTCTCTCTCACTCACTCTCTCTCACACACTCACACACACACACTCTCTCTCACACACTCACACGCTCTCTCTCACACTCTCTCTCTCACACACGAACCACTCAGAAATCAATAATTTCTCCTTCAATCATTTATTGAATGTCTTAAATAAGCAGCTCATATATGAATACTCATGTGGAACTCCATTGCGTCACTAATAACAGGGCATCATAAAAACATGTCGTCACACATCCGGTTACGTCACGGACAGGTGAGCAGAAACACCTGCAGCTCAGGTAGTCCGGAGCTTCATGTGCAGCTCCTCAGTTCGTTCTCTTGTCGGTTCAGTAGTCACGTGACATCACAGCTGTTGTCACTCACGTGACGTGTCATAACAAAAACGTCCCCGCTCTGCAGATTCAGGACCCGCAGAGTCCACCTGCACAGTCCTCCCGTCCTCTAACGGGAGGCCGTCCGGTACCGGTACCACACGCGCCTCATGGCCAACTCAATGAAACACGTGGGCATCAGAAGACCCTGGTCCGGTCCGGTCCGGTCCGGTCCGTCTCTCCACTCAAACACCGTTACTCGTCTTCAGCAGAAGGACGCTCGGCCGTCTGGACTGTTTGCACTCGTTCTCACCGCTCCTGCAGCGGTCTGACTCGGTTCGGCTCGGCCCGGTTCGGCTCAGCGGTCCTGCATCTGCAGACACGGAACCCACTGGTTCCTGCAGCGGCTCTCCTCACAGAAGCTGCTGATGTTCTGCAGGGCCGGAGACTGCAGCGGCTGCACCGGAGGGTTCTGCAACAGAGAAGAGAAAGACGGTGAGGCTTCCGGTAACACGTCATTTATTCATTCACTACGTCACAATGTGTGATGATTTAACTCTAACGATCAGCAGGTTGTGTTCTGGTAGAGGGGGCTCGGTGGACTTACAGTGACCAGGATGCAGTGCAGGTCCCGGGGCTCATTCCCGTTCCCGTCCCCAGTGTCGTCCTCCAGCAGCGCGGACAGACGCCGGACACCGGACACCCGCAGGATGTTGATGTCGTTGTCGCAGCAGAACGCCTGAAGCAGCGTGAAGTGGATCTGCAGCGCGATGTCGTCTTCATCCTCCTCATCGGTGGCGAGGACGCACAGGACCACGCTGTCCGGGTCTCTGCAGGAGGAGGGGGGCAGACCGGGAACACGTCAGCGTCATTATGCTCTCTCATCATTATTATTAAAGAATATGTATTCATGGTTCAAAGCTGCACAAATCAAACTTACACATTCATGAGTTTGGCGGACTCGTAGACCCCCACCGTGAGAGAGTCCTGCTTCTGAGCCGCGACCAGCAGCTCCTCCAGAGCCTGAGTCACCGTCTCCATCCTGCGGGGACAAGAGGCGGTTAGAAACGTGACCGAAACCCGCAGAGCGCGCGCACAACGAGCGGCTCAGAGCGCAGATTACTGTTAATAAACTGTGATAATACAGATTAATAGTGTAATATGATCCAGGATCATGATCCAGTCTATATGGATCATTGCACCACGTGCCAGTGCGCAATTACGCATGGATACGCGTCAGAAACTCACCTTTTCTCTGTGCTGTTGGAGCCGATGAACTCTTCCAGAGTCATGTTGAAGTCGGTTAAATAATCCACAAAATCCAGGATCAGAAGAAAGTATCCACAGCGCGAGGAGGCTGCAGTTAAAATCCCGGAACAGAGTCCCAACGAGCGGTAATCCAGATCGGTACGGAGGTCCTGCAGAGTCCGGTAAAGCGGTTTCAGAGTTAGATCCGTGAGTGAGGAGCTGTCTGCCTCTGAAGCTCAGACTCTCGGCTCTTTATTCTCTCTGCCCGCAGTGGGCGTCACCCCGCCCGGCACCTCCGCACCTCATTGGTCTGCCGCTGTCAATAGATCCCCCGTACCCTGCGCTCATTGGCTGAGCGCGCAGCAGACGCTGGTGATCCCACGTGGGTGGTTTCGGAGAATCCCCCGCTCTCTCCTCCTCCTCCTCCTCCTCTTCTCGCACCCTCCGGTTTGTTTACCGAGTTTCTCTCCGACTGGAGGAATTTGCAGACCGGCCTCCCCGCTCCTCCTCCCCGCTCCTCCTCTCCGCTCCTCCTCCCCGCTCCTCCTCTCCGCTCCTTGTCCCACAATCTGCTCACTTGAATCCCCCCCGTTACAGAGCACGAGCCCGCCGCGTCGTGCAGCTCGCGGAGGCCTGACAGACAGCCGGTTGGGCAACAGGAGGGTTCCAAATAAAAGATGGAAAAATAAGCGCGTGGAGACTCACGAGGGGAAAGTCACGAGACATTCTCACACTTTTAGAGTTTGGTGTTGGTTCATAAAGCTGCAGAACAGTTTCTGTTCTGGAAGCTTAGAGATGACCAGGACCGGGACCTCAAGTCTGACGTAACGGAACACATGCATCATAAAACATAATCATGATCATAAAGTCGATATTATTGGATGCAACGTTTTTAAATAAATGCAGCAGCCATTCTGCCCCCCCCCCCCTGGACTGTCTGCAGAGTGAAACCAGGTCTCAGGTCTCAGACGCCCCCCCGCGGCCCCGCAGTGACACTGCAGCAGTGAAACCACCAGGACATGTTGGGGCACGCTGAGACTCTGTGGAACTGGTTCCCCCAACTGGAGCTCATGCAGATGTGGAGGGGTCCCTGGTCCCGGAGGGGGGCTGTTGTTGTGTGAGGACCTGATGGTCTCTGGGAAGGTTTCAGGGTCTGTTGAGGGGGTTTTAGGTGCGTTTAGGGGTTTTCCTCAGGATAGGTTCTGCAGGTCTTTCTAGACTCTGGTCTCGTGGGTCTTTAGCGGTTCTAGGATCCTTCAGGGACTCTTAGAGTCTGTCTGAGGCTCCAGGGAGACGTGATGGACTCTAGTGGATCCTTCAGGGGTTTCCAGACTTCAGTCTGTTTACTGACAGAAACCCTCCACACATGTTCAATATGCATGAATCATAAATCATATTAATATGAAGCTGATCAACGAAAGAATCCAACATTCATGTTTCTCTTTGATCTTCATTCTGAGTTGAACTCTTTACACTAAATAAGAAGAAGAAGAAGTTTAATATCAAATAAAAAGATTCCTGAAGATTCTCAGTGTTTATTATTTTTACATGATTAATAAACTGGAATGAAATTATATTTCTGTAGGTTTCTGAAAATAGTTTCAGGGTTTGTGAGTTGATGGGAGACTGAGGGTGTCTGGTGGTCTCAAGGTGGTCTCTGGTGGTCTCTGGTGGTCTCAAGGTGTAGCGCATTAGTCTACGTAAGAGACCACGAATAAGCCGAAATGCGCCCTAATTGCGTGGTATGGAATCTTGCTCGTGCCCGTTTTGACTCGTGATCATCACATTACCGTCACGCAGCAGACGCTTCCATCCAAAGAGACTGACAGTCAGTGTATTCAACATATTCAAGAGAACTCGTCACCAGAAGCATCTCCTTTAAACCAGCATCTAAGAGCATAAACCACAGCAGACCTACAGTGCAGAAACAAACGAATGCAATACAAACTAATATGAATACAATAAGTGCAATAAGCTCGTATGAATACAATAGATGCTGAGTAAGCGGTGAGTGGAAGGCTCAGTACTAGAAATATGTACGTCAGCAACTAAAATAACCATAGGCGGCCTATGTTACAGCATTGGTGGAAAGTTGATTATATTTTCTTTTATTAATCTGAATCTTCAATAGTGTAGTAGAAAGTACAATATTTGCCTTTGAGGTGAATTGGACTAAAAGTATAAAGTAACATGAGATGTAAATACACAAGTAAAGAACAAGTACCTCAAAGTTGTAATTAATTACGGTCCAAACTAAGGAGCTTATGTGATGATGAAGCAAACACAGAATGTGACTAACAGGAGGATTATTATTTATGAACATAGTTTAGAGCTCAGATAATCCTCTCTTGGCTAGATCTTCAAAGTTGTAATTGTTTGAGTGAAGTTGTAATAGCTAAATAATAATAAGGAAGAATAAATCAACACAGAAAAGTCAGTTTTATATTCTTCATTATAGAAAAACAACAAAAATGACGATAATAAAGTGTAACATAAAGGACTTCAGTATTCAATTCTATTTATTTTCGTATAGCCCAAAATCACAAATTTGCCTCAGAGGTCTGCACATGTACGACATCCGGTGACCTTTATTTATGTAAAGTGCAACATAAAGAAAGTGAAGAAATCAAGAACACAGAAATATCTGAACCTGTCGTCTATTTCTACATAGTTGAAACAACACCATGATGACAACAAGTAACAGAAGAGACTTAAATAATCAGAAATACAGTAAATAATAAAGAATATTCTGTGTACATAAAGCTTATGAGCATTGGAATACTGGTGTGGGATCATTGATCAGGTGACAAGACCGTCAGAGTGAAGAGACAAGATGGTCACGGATCAGATATCCAACAATATTTTACACATGCGGCCCCGGCCTTAAAACAGTGACTGTTGTAAAGCCAAAGAACACACACACACGCACACGCACACGCACACGCACACACGGCTTCTTTTCCCGTAACCCCACTTCTTCAGCATCGCCCTCCATTCTTCAAATGAGGGTCAGACTCTGGACAGCACCAGCTCCCAAAGTACTGAAGGTGTGATGTGGCTTTGTGTCTTTGGTGCACTTTCTGCAAAGGCTCACGTCTGTCTTCTTCACGTACTTTCTCGTGACGGTTCCACTTTGCTCCATCTCTTCTTTTCTTTCCTGTACTGTTGAGTACTGTAAGGAACAGCTGAAGGTAAACTGGGGTTGGGGGAGTTGAAAAACATCACCTGTGAGGGTCCAGGCACTGTAGGAAGCCCCACGGATGGGAAAAAGAAGGGGACGGGCGGTCTCTTCTTGAGAGTTGCTTCTCCTGCAGTGTTTGGTGGCAGGAGGTAAAGGTGGAGCTCAACCAAACTGCCAGAATGCAGAGATGGCCCTGTATGCAGAGCCGCAGGAAGCTTCTCTGGTCCTGCTGAGGGTGCATCTGGAGCTGGGATACCCTGCTGCAACATGCTGCCACGCCTGCTGAACCTGGGAAAACATAAAACAACCAATATTAATAAACAGATTGCAAGAGGCTGAATACCGCTCTGCTCACTCCTCTTCTTCCAAGACTGTGGTAACGTAGTGACGGGGCATGATGGAGGACTCAAACGCAGACCAGAACAGAAGTAGAGTGAAGCGGGAATTTAATGAACACTTAAATGGGAATCCACGGACGAGACAAGAGACGAGGGGGGAAATCCTGCAGAGCCGAGACAGGGCGGACAGAGAGACAGAGAGAGACAGAGAGACAGAGAGACAGAGAGAGAGACAGAGAGACAGAGAGAGAGACAGAGAGACAGAGAGAGAGACAGAGAGACAGAGAGAGAGACAGAGAGACAGAGAGAGAG